TCTATGATTCTATGATTCTATGATTCTGAAACTTCTATAGCAAAACATAAGAAATGTTTTTCGACAAAGCCCTTCCAGTTCCCAATTTTCTTGGATGAAGGCCAGATACATGCATTTTCTTCTGAGGTATATCCTCAGTGGATTTTCCAGAGCTTGAGAGTCCCTCTTTTCAAAGACTTATAATCCCTAATAAAAGATTGAGGTACTTTAAGAGACTGTCAGCCATTCTCTGATGCTTCTTTGAAGCAAATTAGGCATTTAAGATTGCATGTTTGCAGTCCAACCTCTCAAAAACAACATCATCTAAAGCCTGGGAAAACCTGCATTGTACTGAAAACATTGAAGGAGATACTTGGGGGGTTCAAAGAAAAGAAAGATACCATTAAGTACACAAGACCTATTACACAGTTCATATAAAAGGAACGTCTGTTTATAACTATATACACTATTCTACAAGTATGTTACCATTATAGATTCAGAAGGCAATATTACAAATGGAAAAAAAAAAAGTTACCAATTATCTGACCAAACACCTACAAGAAAGGGTACCATAAACCTGATTTTTCTCTGTTTATGAAGTTAATGGGTTTTCTATTACGTTGATGGATTTTTCAAACAAAAATGTCCTTGTTCTGTTTCTTTCTTGTTCTGCCTTGTTCTTTTCATTCTACTTCTTACTCACACAACATAAAACTATCTCATTAAACACTTGCACAGATTTCTCTATTTAGCTGCAACAAGTAGAAAATGAACACAGTTTATTTGTTCAGCTCACCACTGCTAATGCGATTCTTTGATTTTCTGGTTTTTTTTATACTCTCCACCAGCAATATTACTCACTGCTTAATACAAGTTGCAAATTCCCAATTAAATTGCTACATATCATTAATCATCTATTTTGTCAGCACATGCCAAGTAGCGTGAATGGATGTGATGCCACCAATGACTTCAAGCTGATGAATACCATACATATGAACCAAAACACAGAACTTAACCCAAAGGACTGTGGGCAGGCAGAAGACCAGTCCACCTTGGACTTTGTTTTCCATTATAAAGCTGACTCTGATTCCCATTCAGAATTTTCACAGAACATCCTCCATGCTTCAAACTTTTCATTCTTGGTCAGCTGGGAATATCTTCTACAGACAAACAGAAATACCTACCAGATTCCAGGTAACTTTGAAAAGATGCCAAAAAGAGGCTGTTTGAAAAACAGTGGTTTTCTTGCCTCTTTTCTTTCCTTCTGAAGATAAACTTAAAACTCATTCTCATCATTAAAGTGGGTGGGTTTGTTTTTTTCCCCCAATTATTTTTTTTCCTGGACTAAGACGGGAAAACTCAATCTTTTCTTTCTGCTAGCAAACACATCACCAGTGATGGTCTTTGCCAGTGATTAATCACACCAGCATGCCTGATGTAACCACCACAGTGGCAAGAAAAAACTCAGGCAATCCCTGTTACATGTTCTTCTCAACCAAACCCTGTTTGGCAGATGTCTTTTAGAAAGCATCCCCACTTGATGGAGCACTTAAAAGAGAGTATATGACTTCTCTCTTTCTGATTAGAATACTGGATCTAGAGCACTGGGTCCACTGTGTAGACTGAAAGTATTCAAGGAGGAGAAGAACTGTTCATCCTTTGCCCAGGAGTGACTATAAATCTGTGTACAAATGAGTCGATTACATGTGTTTCAATAGTCTCCTCTTCAAAGTTATTTCAAGATAGATTTGGCCACCATTTCTAACAGAAACAGCAGGATCAGCTTACAGAGACTGAGAAGGGCTTCTTGTGATAGCACTTCTCTGACAAAAGAAATACAAGTTCATCAGTAAAAGGGAGATTTTGCTAGGCATTAGTTCATTTTTTTAAAAATTCCTTTTGCACACAGACATCTGTTGGTAACATGCATTCACAAAACAGTTAGTCTGACAAAATACAGTAGCTAAGACATCTTATTCTTCCTGTTTATCCTTGTAATTCTGCATTAAACTTTCAGAAACAACTTCTCTTAAGAGTATGCCCAGCACAACTCAGAAGAGTTGAGCTAATCTGTGTTTGCTGGAATTATCACATATGAATGGCGCCGTTGCTTGGGGACCATCCAAAACAGACTGTCTCAGGCTCTGCCCCTTTTTTATATTATTCACCTTCTCAGACAACCTTAAATGCAATGCTGACTCACCAGTCATTGTTCCAAGACATTTTTAAGGTTCTTATGCCCAAGAGACAGTCTCTTATATTATTATTTTGATTTAGATAAAAACTCAGCAGGACATGACTGATGGCTTTGTTGGATTAAACATGCACATGGGCAAGTTCAGACTACAGTGGATTCTTGCTACCACACCTGTGTTTTCAGGGAAGCCACCAGGCTGCTGAAGTCCACCATAAACACTGCCCACAGTTCATTCATGGAAGGAATATGTGCTTTCAGGCAAATTTATCACTGAACATCCCTCTGGAGAGCACTTACAACAATCAGTAGTGCTATGAAAACTTGTTTTCATCTACCCTTTTCTAAACCAGAAGCTGATTACCCAGAAGCTAACTAAGTGCTGTCTCATACAGCAGTAAAACGTATGTCACAAGATGGGAACATATATCAATATAAATTTCCAGTAAAATTGGAAGCCATGAAAGTTACTTTCACAGTAGAGAACTTCACAAAAAGGAAGAGCTGTTTTTTCCAAATGTTTAAGATTCAGTTCTTACCGGCAGTGAATGAAGTCGGGAACAGGATTATGCTGGCTAAAAGATGCTGCGTCAAGATTCATGCAAATTTCCACATTGTCTCCAGCTATGATTCGTACTGCAGCTTTATTTTCATCCTCAAACGTCTGTCTTTGTAAGGATGCACACAGCAGCAACATGAAATCATCTAGGAGACAGCAGCAGTTTTAAGGAAAAATTCAGTCATTAACTTCAGTGTAGGAAGTGGTGGTGATAATTATAAGGTAGTTACCAGACTGTTTTCCCGCACTTTGAACCTCCAAGACCATGTTATTTTCAATTCATCTAACACTAATTTGAAATTTCATTAACGTGTTTAGATTTTTTACCTGTCATCTTGTATGACTTTTATTGAGAAAGAAATTAGAAAAGGAGAAGTAATTCATACTTTTAAAATGTTGCTTCATCAAAATGGGATACAGAAAAACAGATGCAGTAATTAATAATTCTTCGAATTCTTCTACAGCATACAAAGCCACATTGAGTACTGAATCTCCCGCAGAATACATCTTGCTACCGAAGAGTAAATAAAAGGTTGGCTTCATATTACACTGTAGAGATGTTTTAAGTAAAGGACTTGTAAACACTTCACAACTATGTGCTCAAATACTTACAGACAAGGAAGACAGGGTTTGGTCTCACAATGAAGTCTGGAAAGTATAACCACTTTATGATATTGGAGTTGAAGTTGGCATTACCACTCCTCCATGGATAGTCTGTATTACAGAAGCATGCAAAAAATGCAATCGGTACTTTATAACAATTACTTCATCCTTCTGAATACTTATCCATTTTCCAGCTCTTTTCCATAAAACCAAACAGCAGTAATTGTCCAGAAAGGCTAAGTGTCCTTACCTTTACAAGGAGCAGGTGGGATGCCAATGCAAAGGAAGTACTGGAATGTAATGATGCATGCCAGGAAACAGCAGTATTTTGGCCAGATTTCTGCAATCGCTTTTCTTCTGCGTCGATACAATACAGCAATCAGCCAGAAGGCATGAATCATGGCATAAAAATCCATTCGTTGACCAATTACATTCACCGATAGAAGAAAACAGGTCTGTAAAAGAAGTAAAGAAACATAAGAAACAATGCAGCAATGATAAACTATTCTGGATCCTGACAGAATGCACGGACACGTGTTGGGGCTGACTGCACGAACCCTGCGCAAACCAACATGCTAAAACAGTTTGTATTGCTCCAACAGCAAATTCCCCTGCCCCCAAATTTTGTATACTCTTCTGTGAGTGTCAACTATGTGAACACAGCAGTAAAGCAGGTTTCCATTATGTGCTATCTAAAGCTCCAGAATGGAAAGAGCATTGTCACAGTAGCTTATATGTGTTGTTGCCAAGTAAAGCATATATTACACAGCCATATATTTTGATAGTACTTACAGATGTGAAAAAGAAGAGGAACTACTAAGAATAGCAACAAATAAAATGTATCTTCATGTGGGAACTGGACAAAGAGAAGGGATTTAGATCTCACAATATCTATTGGCTATGGACAAATCCAGTCAATTGCTGTAAGGCAGCTTTAGTTCTCCATTCCCTCACTACAAGACAGACATTGAGGTGCTGGAGAGGGTACAGAGGCAGGCTACCAAGCTGGTAAAGGATTTGTAGCTTGTGTCGTACATAATGTCATACACATGCTGACGGATCTGGGGCTGTTTAGCTTGGAGAAGGGGAGACTGAGGGGAGACCTTCTCGCTCTCTATAGCTACCTGAAAGCAGGTTGTAGCGAAGTGGAGGTTGGTCTGTTCTCCCTAGTGGCCAGTGATAGGGCCAGGGGAAATGATCTTAAGTTGTGCCAGGGGAGGTTCAGGTTGGTTATTAGGAAAAATTTCTTTACTGACAGGGTTGTCAGGCACTGGAACAGGCTGCCCAGGGAGGTGGTTGAGTCACCGTCCCTGGAAGTGTTTAAGAGATGGGTAGATGTTGTGTGGAGGGACATGGTTTAGTGGTGTTGAAAGGGCGAGGACAAAGGTTGAACTTGATGATCTTGAAAGTCTCTTCCAACTGAAACTGTTCTTTGATTCCATGATTCTTCTCAAGGCTCTGCATCCCAGAGTATTTTTGTTCCCTGGCTTCACTTTAAGGGAGAAGAGACTACTTTAGTCTCTTCACTCAGTGCCACAAAGCATGTTTTCAAACTTAGCAAATAATTCATAGTGAATCATTTATTCAGTGCACTTCATTGTTTCGATTGTCTCTATCCTCAGATTAGGCTGAGGTCAAATTTATTTCCTGAAGGAAATAGCTTGTCGATTAATTTTAATTTTCACTCATTCTTAATTCCCCAGACTGGCTGTGAACAGTTTACTCTGGCAAGGGGTGGTAGTGTTTAACAGATAGGTCAAGAGCATCATTATGATTAGGTTTGGGATGCATTAGCTTAGAAGTTGCCTTCTTCAGAGAGCCAGAGAGAATTGTGAAAAATCACTATTTCTCCAAATATTTTTGAAAGTACATTTCATGCATCTGTCAACAAACAGATGAGGGAAGGGAACAGGGATGAAGCTTTTTTTTTTTTGGCCATCACTTGTTCAATAGTTTGTCTTTAAGGCAGATTCAGTGCTGATGTTTTGCTGCTAGATTGAGTGAAGCAGAGAGAAGGAATACATTAGCTGAAACTAAACCCCAGAAAGTCTGGGCCACTGCCGCTGGTGAACAAACAAGTAGATCTTCTACTAAATAAGACACCTACCAGATATTTAGGACACAGCATGGATCTTCAGAAAAATCCCTTCACTCCTTTGTACCTGCCTTGCTAATTCTCTGTGTGTTTCTTGTCTACCGAGTTCTTTGAAGAATGAACTTTGTCTTAACACGAGTGGCACAAAGCAGCGATAACTTTTGCTGGAGCTCTTGCTCCTGCAGATTGCTAACACCTATAGTAACACGTACAAAAAAGAAGGACAGATTTGTGCAGCCAGAGGCAAACAAAGCTTAGAAATATTTAGAAACAATGGCCTGCTAGCCCCTGCTTTCTTCTGCTGCTCCTGCAGTCCCATGTTTCATCTTGTGTGTGTGTGCGCATGAAAGGGTATGCCTCAATTCTGTCCCTTGCCACGTCTGTTATCCCTTTTGTTGAGTTATAAATAATACATAGAAAGAAAAGCAAAAGGAAAACCACTACTAGCAGATAGATAGCAACTATGGCAAGGTCCAACAAGAGTGATGACTATGAAGTATCCAGTTGTCAAACACAGTCCAAGCTACTAATCAAAAAAAACCACACAATCAAAAGGTTTGGAAAGGTAGTCTAAAGAAAATTAATAGATAGTGATTTACCTCCAAACCAAACTTGTAGAAGAAATAGTTTATGAAATACTTGACACAGTTTACCAGTCCATCATCCAGATGTGCTCTCGTAATATCATGGAAAATGGTTTTAGTCACAGGTGCAGTAAGGTTATTTCGACATCTGTAGTACTCTTGATGACGGTAAATTGTAACTTCAAAAGCCAGAATAGCCAGCATCAGTAAGTTATTCTATGGGAGACACAATCAGAAGAATACTAAATAAAAATCAAAACCACAAGATGATATAAAACTTTCTGACAAGCATAAACCCATGAATACCGAAATGGTTGTTACCACAGTGTGCTCTCACACTCCAGGATGCGCCGGCACCTATTCCCAGCTACTATAACTGAAAAAAAATAAGGTTCCCACCACTTCTTGGATTTTGCTGAAATATATTGACATTCAGAAGATAAATTTAAAGACATTAATTAAAAAATACTATAATGAACACCAGTTGAGGAAAGGAAGAGGAGGGAAAATGCATTGACCCATCCACGTGCCTTCTCATGTTTCATAGCTGCTCACTGCGTGCTGCTGCTCGGCTTCCTATTCCTGTTGGGAAGAATTCCACACAATCCATCTCAGACAGGCTCCCACTTCAACACTTTGAATGTCCATTATTAAAGGGGCAGAACAGAAACACTCCAAGACTTGAAGCCTGGGACCTTCAAGTCTAGCACTGAACCGAATCCCTTCTTGCAGAGGAGACATTTTATATGCTAACTCAATGAAAACCATTCTAGAATAATTTTTAATCTCAAAGTATTATCTGTTCATAGCTGTAAAGTTCCTAGCATCAAGCCAGACACCACTAGCAACTTCACCCTCCATGTAGAACTCTTGGCTAGTAATTACTCCTCCCCACAGATATTCATAACTGTGGGAGGTGCATGGCTTAGGGAATGAAAGGCAGAGGCACTACCAGAGCCTGATATGTTGACCTGCAGAGCCTGGCTACACAAAGGTAAGCTCTCAGGGAAGAAATGAGAAATAAATCTAGCTAGATCGAAACTTGTTGTTGTTCGGTCAACAAATTTCTTACAGTCTTAAACTGTGTATACAGGATTTTGGAGATTCTTTAAATTAAGAAGAAACATGCAAGGTTTCCCTCAAGAGTTTTGTTGTAAGTGGGTGTTTTTAATCAAGACAGGAATAATGAAATATGGCTCTCAGGCATCAACCAGAAACAAGAAGGAAAAAAAAAAAAGGCATCCATTTACTAGTGTGTGAATAAATTATTTCCTTAACTCATATTTTCTAAGCTCTGAGTAAGGAATAAGCACTTAAAAAAATTAACTGCTTAAACATTTACTGCCATTCAAGGCAATTACTTCAGTTAGACACATATGAAAGCTATGTACCTGTTAATTACTTAGAGTTCTTACATATCACATTTCTTAGAGTGCTTTTAACAGATGGTAGAGTCAGAAAACCACACTTCTACATGCAGATAGTCTTAATTGGTACTGAATCCTTTCTGGAAATGTCCTGTGTAACAGATGTGGCTTTCTGTTGTCTGTTCTCCTGCGCACTTCCCTATTGTCAATGGCTCGCATTCAATTTTATTTTTTTTTTGTGTGGCAGATGATTTATTTCAAAGATATTACTAATTTCATCACAAATAAAAAAATATCTCAGTACAGATAATTGAAGAAGTTACCCTTAAGTACACGAGCAGGGGATAAGACTTCCTCAATCCAACCCACTCTGCAGGATCAACTGGCCCACTGTAGAGGACTGAGGTTTTGAGCTCTTCTAAGTTGACCTTAGTTTCATTCTCTCCTGGCTAAAAAGAAAATGCAACAATTAGTCAATAAAAAATGCTTTCAAGGCTGCTTGGGGAGGGAATGGTAATCACCAACAACACATCAGGTAAACTGCAGTTTTCAATACGTGATATGCTTCCTTTTGCTCTTCTTCATTGAAGAAGACAGTAGTCAAACCTTTTTAATATGCACTTGTACTCACCAACGTACAGTTACTGGAAAAAGTGCTGGGATCAATAGATGTGAGCTGGTACAACATTTTGCAGACAATAATCACACATGTCCAAACAGTGCAGATACTTGATGCCAATGGGCGAAACTGAGCATATGGCAAAGCAAGAGCCCAGGCAATTAAAAACACAAAGTTAAACAGAGACACCTGAAAACACAAGAATAGGATGGGAATTACAGGGAGTAACATGAGAAAGTCTGACCATTTCCACAGTAATTTAAAAAAAAAATTCAAAAGAAAAGGACATAAAAAAACTGTGAGAAAAATACTGAAAAAAAATTGCAACAATATTCACAATAACACAGACACAAAGTGGTGAGTGAAGAAGGAAAAAAATTAATAGTTGGTTTAGGAAGAATGTTATCTCCTGTATAATATTATTAGATTCACAAAACTGCATATCCACCCTATAGATATGAAATACAAAGGACCGCATGCTGGTTCTGCTGCTTTAACACACATGAAACAAAGACAAGATGATACAGATTTGTGTGTCTCTGGAACCCACCTTCATCCTCTTGATCTTTCTTCCCTCAAATAGGATTTTTTATTTTGTTTTTTAGTAAATCCTGTACTATTGAGCAGTTCAAGGAGTGGCTATGTCAGGTAGTGAACTCTTGCCCACACCAAAGGCACAGCTAAAGCTGCTGCTCCCTTTTTCTTTAGGCATAGTTACAAGTTGTTCTTTCTTCAGCACCAGACCCAGTTTAAGTAATTTTTCTAGACATTACTTCCCAAACCCTTTTTACACCCTCCCTCCTGGATGACGTTCACAGACAGCTTGAGCAGCAGTGGAATTACGTCTCTTGAGTCCAAAGAATTAAACTAACGAAACCTTAATATCTGGAAAGAAGAGGAGACTGAGACTACCTAGGTAGATAGAATATCACTGTGGAAGATGTCAAGGCAAGTCCTCAGCAGCTGACAAGCCCAGCTGGATCCCACTATTTCACTAAGGTCTAACATGAGGAAGGCATCTCCCTACACTTGAGTGGGCCACTGTACAGCAGGTTCTGGCAAGTCTGCTTACCATGGGTAAGATTTTGACAGTGGGTGTTTACTTACCTCTTTCACTGTGACCCAGATGATGTAAGAGGAAACAATTTTGATGATGTGCAGCTCCAACAGCCACCACACAAAGACTTGCATCTTATGAAAATACTCCAGGAATTTCAAAAATAGCACTGTAAGGCGGTCGATCACCAGATGCCACTTGTTCCTTAAGTCTGCAGAGATGTTCAAGCAGAACCATTGGGAGAAGAAACACAGAAGGTTTTGGTAAAAACGAGTGCTCCACTAGACTACAATGGGCCTTCTACTACTTCTCATTTAGGCCTTAGAGTAGGACAAGGAGGTTAAAGGTATAGCTCAGTTGAAATACAAAGGAATTGAGGCCCACTTAGCTGTGGTGCTCTCCGTTCTGACCCACATTCACTAAAAGGATTCCCCACTTCAAAAGTGGTGGTGATGGCTTCCCTTGCCAGTTCTGATTTATTCTTCTCTAGTAGAGTCTTCCTTGGGCTCTGCTTTCCTCCAGTATCTTTGGACTTGAGCTTAAGGATTCCATCCAGGGACTAGATCTGGGACACTTCAGCCCTGTCCCTTACCCAGATCAGAAAGAATAGGATTTTGTTTGATGTTTGGAAGCTATGGACTAAGTGTGTTTTCAGAAAGCACAGACTACTGCTATTCAGAGAGCTTTTCAGCCAAACTGGAAGAGACCCATGCACACTAGGAGTACGATTCTTGTCACATGGGTTTAGACAGTTGTATTATAGATGTCTTCACATGTCAGAATTATCTAAACTGCCTTACAAACAGCACATGCACCAAGAGTGTGGTTTGTCCCATCCCAGAACAGACAACTAAATCAGGCAAGGCAGACTGCAGTCCAGCTGAATATTTCTTTCAGTTGAAAAGGAAGCTTTAGCCAAGTTAAGATCTGAAGCTGAGTAAACGTATCCCTTCACAGACAGTATTTTGTTAAAAAAGTCATCCTCCCAAATAATACTTCAGTGAGCAAGCATGTAGTGACACTGATTACATGTCAGTATTTATGCCAACATATACGCTGAATAGTGCTCTCTAAGTGCTGTATTTGCTTGTGGGCTGGTATAAAACGGTTTCACCAGGCCAGTATATATTAGTACAAAGTCTTCACACTGTATTAGAGGTTTCAGAAGCATTCTGGAGATTAATAAGGATTTTGCATGCTGTGAGAACATTCTTACAGTTAATATCAGAGATGAAACGTGTAAATGACACCAAAATATATCACTGTCTCAAGCTGTAAAAATGCAAAGGAGTTACCAGCTTCTGTATGTAATTATTTCAGCTTATCTGGGTATTTTGTACATAAAGCAAACTGGGATGATCATTCTGTGCATTTTTGTGTGCACACTTGTGTGAAACAGCTGATTTCTGGAATATCCGACAAGCAAGTTTCAATTATTTTTTTCCACCCTTTTTCTCCAACCACAACTCAGAAAATGCTAATAAAGATGCTGAGTGATGAAAATGTCACGACTAAATGATTACATTTAGAAACATAATTAGGCTATAGAACTTTAATCCACCATATGTGCTTTTCTAGGTACAATGAATATATTTTCAGAAAGTCTTTATGCATACAATTAGATGTTCTCTCTCATTCTTTCATTGCATTTATTTTAATGTGCAGTGTTACCATCATGCAAGGTACATCCAGACTGTGCCAGTTAAGTGGAACAGGGCAGCTAAGGTACTGTAGCAAGCTCTAGCATGTCCAGACACTAAACAGACAGGGGATAAAATGCCTGGTGACATCCACCGAAAAATTGCACACCACTGTGTAACAAAGTCTGCACATGTGAACATGATAAAATAAAGTTAAAACTCCAGCCATAAAGCTAAATAATAATTACATAACCCTTTGGTAAAAACAAATGCAGGTACAGCTTAGAGATGGATCACGCATGGCAAGCGGCCCCTCCTGCTACAGCCAAGCCCCACTTGCTGTGGTAAAAAAGGGTGACCAGGGAGAGGGCTGCAGCTCCTCACTTCCCTGCTCATGTGTGTCACAGCACAGGGTAACCTCCAACAGCTGGCCTCTGTCCCCAGCCCTTCCTGCATGTAGGGATGGCCAGGGTGCAACAAACTCATCACTCCTCATGGACTGCATGAGAGCTGGCCAAGAAGGGTTTCCATGGCCCACGAACACCTTTGTGAGAGAAGACATGCCCACCAGGCAAGACAAATAGCTTCAGCTCTGCCCTGCTGGAACAGCTAAGCCAGATGTGGCGCCGTTTTGCCTTGACAAAGACCCTCTCCCTCTTAATGTGTCACAGTCCTGCGAATATCAGCATGCACAACTGTATCTGTGATAAGGCCATTTCTAGACGGTACAGCTTCCTTGGGTGTTAAATGGCTTGTATTCCAAACTGACATACAGAAGTGATTCCTATTAGAAGCTCATCCTAGCAATATCAAGGGTGATAACATTAGCCTTACCCACGTCTGTCCTTAAGTATTTTTATGTTCAGCTGGCATCGATTACAGAATCCATATTCAGAAGTGAAAAATATGACAGTAATGTGCACGTCAATAATGAAGCCAAGAGCCATTGGGACTTCTGGAGTGGAGTGCCTTGAAAGCATGCAGTATCAGAGATTAAATATGCATGTGTATTTTCTTAATTATAAAGAGATTTCATTCTAAAAGAGTTCTTAGGATTTGGGGTAACCTCCTATTAATCTAACCCAGACCACCTGATGGAAAAAGGTGGGGTTTCTTCCATTTTCATCCTCTCTGCATCCTATAGAAACAGTACCAGTTTTCCCTAGAAGAGACTGTAGCCTATTGAATAACTGACAAATAGCCATTTGCTCAGTTCATGCTCTTTTGGTAAAGACTGTGTGTAAAACTAGAAGAAAAACTTGATGATTGAAATGAGCAGGGATGACCAAGAATGAACCATGTGTTGCCACTGTTAACGAAGGCCAAGGAAGGCAAAATTTGCAATCTTCAGAGCTTACCTGTAGTTTCTTCTTCTTCTGATTCATTGTCTTCTTCATCATCATCATCTTCTTCTTCTTTGTCCTGATTCTCCTTCTCTTCTTCTTTTCCTTTTTCGACCCTCCCTTTCCCTCCCTCGCCCTCTGGCTCTTCCATTCTTTTCTCACCAGCTTCTTCCAGCATTTTATCCTCTTCCTTTTCTCTGCTGGCTGTTAAATTCATCATAGTTATGTCAGGCAGGCTTCCATCTTGGTGCACCAGTCTGTTGGTAAATAGTGGCATGTCAGCAAACCGAGTGTCAAAAAAGTTGTAGACTTTTTCTTTTCAAGACGTATAATTAGAAAACATAAACCATTCATGGAAAATGCCTTAGAATTGGAAAAGTTAATGGTTCTGGTACTTTCTCCAAACACACACTGCAAATTGAGTTGGAACGTATTAGTAACTACTCTTCACTCGGATACCAATGGTTAGTTAGTAATGAGTGGTATTGACACTTAAACTTGACATTTTCCCCACTGGAGAAAATGGTCAGAGTTTAAGATGCAGAAGCATGAAATGACATTATTTAAGAGGAAACATTTCATGACTTCGTAGGGGACTTACTCATTTTGGTGGTTTGGTATTTTTTTCTTGAGGCTGCTCAAAGTAATGGGAACAGAAAGAAAAAGGGAGATGAGAACAGAGGGGTTACAGAAGAAGGTCATCAACAAATACATCATGCTACGTCACAAGTCATAAAGCACTCCTCCTACTCCATCTGCAGAAGCCTTCTGATGCCAAGAGCATGCCATCATGACATTCACAGGGTGCTTCTATAAAGAAACATGGAACTGCAGCACAGATGGAAAAGGGGCAACCTCTTTACACCAGTGTTAAACACGATCAGTGCTGCACCATGCTGTCAGTAACGCAGCTGAACCATCACCAGGATCTGACTGATTAGTGTAAATGCATTTCCACCTTCTTCCAACTGAAAGAAGCAGCTGGAAAGCCAAGGAATTTGCAATTTTTCTTCCAGATATAGGTTAGGGAAAATATGAAAGCAAAAATTCCATGGTCGTGGCTTCGGTATATTTTATCATGTCTGTCTTTGACGCCATTCATTCTCTCTCTCTTTTCTACATATTACAAAGAATTTTTCTTAGGTTTCTGACTGTCTCTTACTAAATCTATTAGTCATTTTCAGCCTACCAAAACTGAGATATTACTGATTTAACACAGAAATGGTATTTCTCTATTGACGCCAATTTTCCTGAGATATATTCAGTATATATCTTTTCTTTACTGAGAAAAGAGACATTTTCTTATGGCATCTTTTCTCTCTCCCAGCTGTGCTGTTAGGACTCACCTTCCTCATTTGCAGAAAATCCAATTTTCCTAATTCCCTGATGCTATGTGCTTTGCTAAGCATAGCACTTACTGCCAAAAACAGTCCCTTTGAATATGACTTCTTGGAATAAAGTCTCCCCTTGGCAACTGCATATCTATATGATCAGGCCACTAAATGTTTAGTTATGCTTTTGAAATTACTACACTCTGCATACTTTCAAGCACCTGTTATACTGTTTCTGGACTAACGCAAGTAACTTCAATATGCAATAGTACCAGCTCAGGGATTAATTTTTCATTACATGAAATTCTGGCATATTACCATTTAGACAGAAAATTCTGCCAATTTTAAGTAGGATTTTTACAGTTCAATAAACTAAAAATCTAGGCTTATCGATCCGATCATTAAAAAATAAGAGTATAGGCTAAGCAGTTAATGAGAAAGCCAAATAGGCAGAATTATTTTTTAAATATTTGTTTCTTAAAGATGGAACCTTTGCCTCAAATGAGTAAAAAATACAGAAATTTGACTGAAGAATCTCGAAGTAGAAATATCATACCAATTACTAAAAAGTAGAAAACATGATTTAAAAGTAGAGATTTAAAGAGACAGCCAAGCACCAAAAAAAATCTCACTGAAGAAATACATTCATGACAACGGTTACTAAAATCTCTCATCATGGACTGGGGAATAAACCTGAGTGTCCAATAATCTGAAAATCTCTTATACTCAACAATATATTCAGTAGCTTTGGCTACAAAAAATAGGGCTTTTTGTCCAATATACTTTATTTTCATATTTAAGCTAGTGTATATACTAAACCAGTAACTATATATCTGTAAAATGACTAAACAATAATATTCTCTAAAATGACATAATCTAACTTTGCATATGTAGCTGAAACTCCCAACAGAAGGGTCATGTACAAAGAAGAGAGAATGAATTTTCAGTTCGGTTCAAATGTTACGGAGATCCCCAATTACTATAAATCATCTAAGCCCCTTTAAAAGGCAATGGCCCATGAAATGAAAATATCCATATAATTAGACAGCTTTTGCATGCATGCAATTTCATTGATTTTAATGAGGTGTCTTCCCAATTGACACCTATAAGGGAAAAATCTACATTCACACTGGTGTAAATCAAGGACTTAATGACTTACCTCAGGTAAACTGTATAGAAACAAAGTAACCCTATAGGATCTTGTAGGAGAGGACTCATCTTTCTCTTATTCATATAACTCCCATTAGTATCCAGGAAATCCAGAAAGTGATGGGGTTATAAAGATGGGTACATGCAATATATATACCTGATAAAGCCTCAGTGTGAGCTTAATTTTCAGTATGTAGGTGCTCAGTTACATGGATATCACTAGACTTGAGCATGGGGCTGTGTGCTCTGGAGATCCAAGACTAGATAATAAGCCCTGCCCACTACTAAGAAATCTAGCCAGCTTCTTCCCAAACTTTTTCATTTATTGCTAGGGTTGTTTTTCCTCTTTTTAATTTTCTTTTTCCACTACAAGATCACATGATATTACGTAACAGACAACACTGAGGTACTAGGATATAAAAACTGCAGTAGTTTAGAATATCCAACACAGGCTACCCATACAGGCTTCACAGCTGGTCAGATGTAACCAGATTGGAAATCATGTACTGGTGGAAAATTAACCAAATAATACAAAAGTATTGTGTTTGATAATTAGAAGTGAAATAACAGTGCAAACAAGAAGCCTTGAAGGTACAGCCACTAATAATGCTTTTAACTGAACACATTTCTTACCCTCAAATTCATTAAATAGGGTATCAATAATGATGACTACACTAGTAGATTTTGGGTTGGACATAAAAGGAATTTCAGAGGCACTAAAATGAGGCATGGGCCCCAGGTCCTTGCTGGACTCCCAGTACTTTCATCTATTTATAGTTCACTAGAACAAAAGATAAATTAATAACAACTTACTGGATGCATTATGAAGCCTCTTGTGCCTTTGGTTATTTTGTGCAAACAGTTTATGAATTGCTTGAAACTTTTTGGCTCAGACAAATTTCTTAAGTATCAGTCACGCACAGCTTTAAATAACAGAAACTTTCTGCTCTGCACAACACTAGTGACCCACCTCCTGAATACTCGGTGTGCAAGAATCAAACTGAACATGCGGTGCCGTACCTCTATAGGGAGGACCTTGAGCTCTTTCTCTGCCCTTGCTAGGGGTTTGGGGGTTTCTGACTGCATCTGAGGGTAGCTGGATGGGGTATGTGGACAGGCCAGGAAGCCTCAGCTGAGGGGGACCCTTTCATCTCTTTGGGAGCCACATTCATGCTGAGGCCCCAGCCCCTGCACTGTGGCTGCATTGCAGCTCTGCCTATGACCTCTCCCCTGTCTCCCTTGCCTTAAGCCTGACAGACAGACTCCTGGCCTTCTGTGGATTTGCTGGGAGCTCACGGGGTTCTGGGTGATGCTTATTACTCTCTCTGGGTCTGATTCTCACCCTCAGACTCCCCACAGGTGAGAGCCCATCCTTGCCTCCTGGCCATGCCCCTCGGCTCCCAGCTTGCCTGCCATCGCTGAGCCACCACTCTTACTGCTCCCTGACACACAGGTTTCCTACGGACCAGGTTCCCAGCTCTGGTGAACTTTTAAGAACTCTGGCCTAAACTACGTCATGAGATTTGAAGAAGGAGCGTGAACATGCCACATAAATTAACTTCTTGTTAGAGCAGGTAGTCACAAATATCTAAACAAGAGATTTTCTTGGCTTTTCTTTTTATATTCAGTAGCAACAACAAACTCAAAAGTCCTTCTGTTCTTGGGGCTGATTAAAAAACCCCTCACATTTACCAGCCAAATATTTTGAAAGAAATCTACTTTATGAAACTGCTTTCAATATGTCATTTATAAAAGGATGATGACAATGGCAATATAGCCTTTTGCAGTTGATCCTGCAGCATCCAACTCAGCCCATGAATAAAGAGCCTTAGCATGCAGTGGTTTCAGTGTACAGCATGTTCCTTTCCTGCCTCTGAATCAGGAAATGACAGTCTGTACAAACTCGTAATACATACCACACTTTTAATTGACTTGGCCCTCAAATTCCCTCTCTTAGATGCTCGTGAGGAAGACAGGGACATGTGTCTATGTGTAAATATGCGCATGCAGGCATGCATCTTTCCATGCACAGACAAAGGGTAGATAAACGAGCCTCCTCAACCAAGTCTATTGTCTGAAGCCAATTACAAATAGCACCAATGAATCCTGTACTGAGGCACAGGCAAAGTTTAAGAGATGAATTCCCAGCTGGGAGATGAACTCACAACATCTAAATATGCAGAAGAGATGTATTAACTGCTTCACCAGCTTTAGGAGACTACAATACCTGAACAAAATTATCTCCCTGTTTACCTCACAGTACTTGCAGCAACAACATACTTTATTCTAAGGCAACTGAGAAGTTACAAAAGAGATAAGGTATATTTGTTTTAAAGGAAAGGAAGGATTGAAGTACCCACCTATTAATTATTAAATAGACACGGCCATTGACTTTGGCATGGCTATGAGGTGGGAGATGAAAGCACAAGAATGCATGAGATGGAAATGGGATATGAATTAGAGAGAGAGAAAAGGAAACCGTTAAAAATGAATGAATGCACTTTCCTGTCTACGAAGAGACACACATTGCCATAACAAAACACAACCTGAAAGCTTGACACACACCATGCAGTTAAAAGTCTAGGAAGCTTATAAATGCAACATTCAGACATTTAGACCATACACAACTTCAGTTAGAACTACAGGTACTTTTTATCATCCCCCAAATGTGAAAGCCTCTACTGCTTTATCTTGAGTAAGCCTTACAATATTCATAGTTTAAAAAACACATATTGTGGTGGGTTTTTTTAATTATGACAGAGCATCATACCATAGAAATTATCTACCTCAAAGTAGAGATAAACTCTGCCATACCATAATTCACGGTGCAGCGAAGAAATGGGCTTGGAAAGTCCTAATCAGAGGATTTTTCTTTGTCTTGCAGATGTTAAATTGAGACACCTTTATAGTGAGAAGTGCCTCACTCTGCCAGTTACAGTGTGCCAGTTTCTGTCCTCTCTATTTGCAGCTGGCTGGCCTTAGTCTTGAACTCATTCCGCAAACATTACTCATGTGAAGGAGCATCTTAATACATGAACAGTCTTGGCAATTTTAACAAGGCTCTTCAGTTAGACACAAATATAATATTATAATCATACATGGCAGCTGAGGGGCAGATAGAGGAACTGAAGCTGCTTTCCTTATAACTTTCATGACTTGCTCTCACTTGCTGTAGTTATTTTAAGAAGTTCCCTATTAAAAAGATTGAGTTCTGTCTGCTTACTCAAAATGTAGCTTGTTTCTTTATTTAAAATTTTTGGTTTGTGGCAGAAGAAGCAGCATAAAAGTAGTTTTGAAAGGTAAACTAGCTGTTGAGTGAAAGCTAGTGTTTTCAAAGCAAAAGGGAAAATTAAGTTTTATTGGCTTTGAAAAACAATTGCATGTATACATATGAGTCTTTTATCTCTGTTTTAATTTTCCCTGCAACTTATTTCTACTGCTAGCTTATACAAAGTGCTAAGCTTGAGGTGGCTCTTGTGCAAGTTCTTATCCAGCTTTATGCATCATCAATACAAATGCCAGCTGAGCAATCATCCTGAAGCTTTTAATTGTGAAGTCTATTGATCTATTGCACTGAGGGAACTATCATACTATCTAGTATGTGTTAAAATACCATTATAGTAGAAAGACAAAATAGATAATTTTATCACATGACCCTTGTCACCTGGCACTTCAGTAGAAAGCCTGTTGCAACAAGGAATGTCTACTTTCAGCACCATATCACACTCCTGGCAAAAATTTTTGCTCTCAACAAGACATTAAAACCATTTTGTGTTGCTACTATCAGTGGTTCCATCCTGCGGGAAAGATGTGACTTTAGTCACTATGATTCTCTTCATGAAAACAGTTGAAGAGCTGTATAATATTCTGGTATCTTTCATGTATAATAGAAAGATTTGCAAGCAGTAGCTTCACAGGCAGAATATCCTGCACCATGAAATGACCTAGATCCTGGCAGAGCCTATTTTTTTTTTTTCCCCATTTTGTGCCTGCTGGATCCCACTAAGAGAGGTGGAGGCTGTTTCTATGTTACTCAGCCGAAGTGCAAATTGTATGGGCTACAAAACATTTTGTGCAGCTACTGCAAACTGTAATGCATTCCCCTAGGCCCCTTTTCTGCTCAGACACCTGTATCTGGGCTCCAGTTTCAGGGCTTGGCTGTCCAGTTCAGAGATGTTAATGTGCACCTGGTGCTGCATAAGAAGTTTGCTCACAGGCTGCTTCAAAGGGCCCTTGAATCTATCATCATATTTAGAAATTCAAGAAAAGCAAAAGGTACTATGCAAACAGCCATTAGAAAAGTAAGTTTAAAAAACCTCCACAATATTGTCAGTAAACTTTGACAAGCTGGATCTGTTCCGGTTTTAGCAATTATTTAAATACAGAAATGGGAAACATACTACAAAAGTAGAGCTTGTTCTCATGCACTGGTGGTAGGGAACACAAGCATACTTGTACCATACATTGTAAAGTAGCTTCATGTTAAATAGAATGCATGGAAAACATCTGAAATGCTTTTGCAAATCTAGCAAGTCCTAGAGCAGAATTCTCAGATAAGACAAACTGTCATTACTGCATGACATATTGCGGTGTACATGACGTTACGGAGCTAAGCCACCATTCATAGAAGCGCATCTGAGTTAACACTTACAATCGAACAGGCAAACACTCTAACAATACTGTCTAAATGAATTGGATTCTTCAAAGAATTAGAGTAAATGTCATCGCGTAATATGACAATATGTACTACGAGACTGTTTCTCTTTGTTATACCCTTGGGGCAGGATCCTAGACCAGATAAGTTTTCATGCAGGAGAAATGGAAGAGTTAAATACAGGAAAAGCAAGGTTTCAGAATCATGAAAACTGCTAATGAACTAATGAATAAATTAGCTAAATGTCTCAAAGAGCTAGCATAGATATGGTTTGGGCTTTAAAGAATGACTGTAGGTTTAGAATTTTTGCATTTCTAATTTCAACTTCACAAAAATGCCTGTTCAATGCAAATGTAGTATTTGCCAAAGATCTCCCAATCCTTATTTGGTCCTCAAAACAGACACCAAAACCCAGAAGTGACCCAAACTAAAAGCTGTATTTCCTATTATTGACAAGATATGAAATATTGCACACATAGTAATTAATCATCTTACTCTCATTAAAGGACAAAGCCAATGAGATATATACTGCTAATACCTTTGAAAATGTACCCCAAAATTAAAAACTTCAGCATGTAGATGAAAGTGCAGGACATTTGCTCAGCGGGGTGCTGGATACTGAGCACCTTCCTTTTAAGCCAGGTAGTCATAGCAAAGACAAATAACATCTAATGAAAAGTGAGCATTACAAGACAGTGAGAAACAGCATTTTCACACAGAAAATCAATAGCTCTATTTGCTTCTTTACCTGTAAATAGTGTTGTCCTGTTTGCTGGTTACAGCTTTTAAATCGGTGAGTTGGAGAAACCGGTCATGGAAATAGTGAAGGTGTAAGATACATGCCAGGAGGAAGGAGGTGGGGATAAATATGCGTGTGAACAGCTCAGCCACAGAAAACTGTTTTAAGCCAAGGTCTGCAAGTCTGGAAATAAAAAAATTAAGCCACTAAGCCACCTTTTCACAGCAAAATCTTTTTTCTTGCCATGAGACATTAATACAAACTATCTGCAATAGGAAATAAGGGGCTGGTACATGACTTAGTTTTGGGGTTTCAGATTCACTCATATTGCATATATTTTTTCATGTAAGCTCCTGTTAAGAAATGTCCAACACACCATAAGTAGGAATAAACTCAATGCTCCTCATTAGCGGGAGGACAGGTCCACCTTCATCAGCACCAAACATCCTGCAAATCTACCCTTAACCTCTCCTTGGACCTTGCTCCTATGGTCAAAAAGGCAGTGAGAAGCATTGGCACTGTCTTGGGGACAGGAGCGATGTCAAGGCCTTGGCAGCAGAGGAGACTAAATACGACTCTTTGTGCCCCTCTTACACCCTTGCTCATCTTTAGTGTTACACTGATAAATCTATGGCTTCAGAGCTGAACACCTGAAGTCAAGTTGTGCCTGTGGATGGTCTCATGATGTATTCTCTCCCATAAGCAGGAAGACTACTCTCAGACCACTCCACTACATTGAACTCAAAAGCCCAGAGAAAAAGTGAAACTTATCAAAAACACTTACTTGCTTTCATCCAGGCCTGTCATGTTCTTCCACAACCCAGGGAATGACTCAAACTGGTACGTATAGATGAAGATAAGTACCAACATCGTGTAAACAACCACTGACATCCAAAAGTACTTTAAAATCTTTCTCCACCATTCATAGTGCACCTGAAAATCACACATTAGAGATGCTGAAACAAGCTAAAGGCAAGGACACTGACAAAAATATTGACAACATTTTACTGGCAAACAAAGAATGATATTTTTCCCAGTCTGAGTAAACAATGCTTACCCAATGACAGCCACAGTTCTTTGAGATATAGTTTTTACGCCTAATGCACATGCAGTCAAGTATAGACTTTTGTTTAAAAATATCTATTCAGACATGGCGACAGACATAAAAGCCAGAGACAGCTTCAGACACTCAGTTTCATCACCAATAGGTGATAAAAGTACAGGGTGAGAGGGACTCCATGCTCATTGGGGTGTAGATGCTGTGTGGACCAGCTGTCACAAGAACTGGTGGCTATATAGGACATGCATAGAACCAGAATTTTCCCACGCAGGTTCCAAAGCCCGTGGTGATGTGAGGTGGCATCCCAGAACAGAGGTGTATATTGTATGCATCTAATTTACGTGCACTTTGTCTGTCATTATAATCAAAAGTCAAAGGACAATTAGTCTTAACCCCTTCAAATGATCTTATGCTGTATCTAACTAAAGAACAAACACACTCTATGAATTCTGTTTGGAGCTACTTTATTACTAAGTTAAAGGTATGAATCATTGTTAGTTAACACAGTTCTCACCTGATAGAGGGCCACACAGAAGAGGAACAGTACCATATAGATGATTTTGTACATGACAATTCTACCCTCAAAGCTGACAAAGAAGAACATGCCCCCACAGACGTAAATCCAGTACTTGATGAACATGGCCATCACCAACTTCCCCAGGACTTTCATAATATCCTGTTCATCCTCATCATCCTCTTCCTCCTCCTCCTCCTTTTCCTCCTCCTGTTCTTCTGCCACTTCTCCCTCTTGCGACTCCTCTTCTGCAAATACATAGTAATATTTGGCTTCTGTCTGTTCTGGGAACTTTTAGTAAGAACTAAAATGGTTGGAAAGTAAAATCTTATAATATTCACAAGAGACTGTATTTCTGAATCATACATGCCTCCAGAGCAGAGGAAAGAGTTTCAACTTCATATGACCTTCAACCTGCTCCTGGAGCCATACGGTGCATAGCTATACATCCTTACCAGACACTCAGCCTCATTTTTTCTGAAATGCAGGCAGCTGTAGTGGAAAATTAGAGCCTAAGGGTTGTATAATGGATAAGAGTCAAAACACTTTCCATAGCAATACCTGTACTCCAGGCAAGAAGTAAACAAAGAAACCACCAGCACCACCAGAAACCTATCATCCTGAGTTTGAACTCTTGAGTTTGAACATTTCATCTGGAGTTTCATTCTTCAGTGAATATTGTGGTTACCTCCAAAAACCACAAGCAAGAAAAAACATTAACATAAACCCAAATAAGGTTAAAAAATACAAATGCTGCACTAACAGTGCTGTTTTTCAAAGAAACTACCACTTATCCAGCTTCTTCTGCTGTACCTGAGCCATTGGAGAAAAGACAAGCTGCTTTTGCACTATGAAGAGGTCAGGATTCCTCAGTTATTAACCTTGTGAGGCTTGTGGAGGGCAGGGTCAGTGTTCCCCTAATAATAAGTACATGAACAAGTATCTAGATAACAGAACTTGTCAAAGTCACAGCATGTAGCTGTAATGCTTCTCTTACTGTTGAGAAAAATATTGAGGCTTGACCATCAAAAGGTTTGCCCACTCCTTTTTTCCCACTCATCAATCCTCTTCTCAAACTCTTTCCTTGCACTTGCCTTGCAAATCTTGCAGTGTCCAGCCTTGACACTGATCAGATGTTTTAATGAGACAAATACTGTAATTAACGAAACAAGAAACTAGATCATCGCTTCCATTTTAATGAGTTGAACTTGTTCAGATCAGTGTCCAGAGAGACAGAAAAGGGCAAGAAAGGTTTGATGGAACACGTGCCCACCAGCAAAAGAGAGATCAGACCACTGAGCTGTTAGATGGGCTGAAACTGTATCAGTAAACTTTGGTAAAATGTATACTTCTGACAGCTTAAATCCCTGCACTGAAAACATACATGTTTCTTTTCCCAGTGAAGTTAGTATTTCAGCCACGGTTATGCACAAGTGTTCATGTACAAATTTAGCAACTGGCTTTTCCTATGTGAACTCTTCTTCTTCTGTGGTTAAACTCCTAGGGTAACTAATCTTCTGGTCTGAGTTTGGGACACAGCAGTAAACTCATTATTTGAAAGTTGCATGACATTTCTCAAACAAGTCATTTTAATGACCTTCCGGTCATGTGAATTCTCATTTTTATTTGAATTTCTAAAGTTCAAAGGTGCTTCATTTTTACATTCCAAGCTGCACATATGACTTGTAATAGATAATAACAAGTATCTTGCTAATTGCTTTCAGCATCACAGAAATGCAGTAACTGGAACTTCTACCATGACTGAAGGACTAAATTGGATCTGGCTTTACCTTTTTCTTCATTTTCTTCACTTCCAACTTTGACCTCAGATAAAGTAGCTTCCTTTAGACGAAGTGCTTTCTGTTCAGTGAGGTGTTGCCTAAGCAGTAGCCAGAAAGTAATTGTGAAAAGAATCTGCAAACAAAAATCAAAACAAAAACAACAGACTAATTGTATATCCTATGTCCTACTGACACAAACACGTTTTGATAAATTTTGTGTGCCTTCATTTTCTTTGTCCATCAGAAAATGGCAACAAAGGCGTCACAGTCAAAGTCCATCTTTGTGGAAGTTGAGTCATTTAGGAAACACCCTGCATTAAAAATAACTTTATTTCATTTGTACCTTTCCATTAGGTAATAATTTATCACTGCATCTTTTCTTAAAGGTATTTACCTTTTTGGTTCTATTCTACCTCATTCTGTTCAGTTTTTAAACTACTATCTTTTAAGTTTAAGGATCTTCTCACTATGTATTTATCGGTATAATTTCCCGTTCTCTGTTTTTGTTCATTTTTCCCTTTTTTTCAGGGAAGTATATGCAGGTGAGTGTATTGTTGTTATTAGCATTTGGTATATTCTAAACCTTTTGCTTTAGGAGGTTTGGTACTTCAGGTGCTTAAATGCTACTAATTTTAAAAAGAAATGCTTTGTATATTTTTAAGTTACAGAAGACCCAGTCAACTAAATATGTCTTGCATTTGGAGAAGTTACAATATTTAAGGTGGCTCTTAATTCTTTCAAGAGCTTTAAGAGATGACAATTCAGTAGCAGTAGGATACCTTAGAAACAAATACATCTCTTTATTAAAGAGTGCATTTCTGTGATTTTCAAAAAGCCAAATTCAACAGCTTGCAATACTGAGAGATGGCTTGATTTTATGTTTACGTTCTACAAAGTTTCCACCGATTTCAGTGGTGTAGAACAAGACTTATTTCACCACTCATCTAGAAGAATAAAATCTCAAATAGAAAGCCAAGTAATTTTGCACATAAAAGAATGTCAAAGCCAGCAGCACAATGTAAAGAACTCTCCTGTTTTTCTTCTAATGTGTAAACACTTGATGGGGGGAAAAGGAGAGGTCCCAGCTATTTTCACTGACACCACAGCTAATGCTGAGGTGCAGCAGAAGACTGTCAGCCTGTGTGAACTGTCACAGCTCCTCCTGGAGCTCCAGCTTTTCTAACACAAACATTTGATGTTGTAAAACACAGAGCTGTTCTGCAGTAATTAGCTCCGTCTCCCTACTGCATTTACTCCTTGTTCTCACTGGCATTTTCAGAGCCAAGTTGGCTCTAAGAAAAGTCTTGAAGGGTTGCAGATCAAAGAAATGTTTTTAATCACCTTTTACTGTATCCACTTTATTTCCTTCTCAGTCCAGAAAACACACACATAGCATACAGGAAATTATGCAGAAAGAATTACAGTACATTTCTTTCTATTCTCCTTTCTTTGCAGAACACAGTATCCAATCTTTATTTAACTTCAATAATTATTCAAAGGACTTTAAACCAGGAATAACCAAGAAGGACAGAGTTACTAGCAGCCATAAGAGGGCCTGATGGACAGGGCTGACAAGCAAAGAGTGCCTTGGGTGAGGTGAAGGAAAGGAAACACAAAATCAACAAAACGGGGCTTATGCGGGGTCACCTCAAGCATTTGTATGGTGAAATGTTCCAGATCCTTTCTGGGAAATCAGCATGCAGGGTGTCTTTCTGAAGTGCCTGTACACTAATGCATGCAGCATGGGGAATAAACACAAGGAATTAGAGACCTCTGTGCAGAGATTGTTGGGATCACAGAGAAAGGGTGCAACGGCTTGCACAGCTGCAATAGACACGGGATCTTTGGGAAGCACAGGCCAGGAGGTGAAGTTTGGATTTGCATGAGAGCACAGCTGGAAGGCACAGGCTCTGACTGGAGATGGGTGATGAGCCAGGTAACCTGGGAGGAATATAGACACACTGGACAAGCATGCAGAGCCCCAGTTAGAAAAGCCAAGGCTTGAAGTTGAGTTTGGCGAGGAATGTTAAGGATAACAAGAAGAGCTTCTGTAAGAACATAAGCTGAAAATGGAAGGGTAGGGAAAATGTGGGCCCACTGCTCAGTGGGGTGAGGGCCCTCGTGACACAAGACATGGAAAAGGCTGAGGTATCAAATGCCTTCTTTGCCTCAGTCTTTGCTAGCAAGACTGGCCTTCAGCAATCACAGGTCCCAGAAACTGTGAAAAGTCCCGAGGCAAGGAAGTCACACCCTTGGTGGAGGAGGATCTGGGCTACAGATACTTAATCAAACTGAGCATACACAAGTCCATGGGTTCTGATGGGATGTACCCATGCGTGCTGAGGGAGCTGGCTGATATCACTGCAGAGGCTACTCTTAATTGTGGTGACAGGGAGAAGTGCCAGAAGGCTGGAGAAAAGCAAATGTCACTCCTGTCTTCAAGAACGCAAGATGGGGGGCACAGGCTGGTCAACCTCACCTCGATCCCTGGGAAACTGAGGGAGGTGTGACACTGAAACATGTGGCCCAGAGAAGTTGTGGATGCCCCATCACTGGAAGTGTTCAAGGATAGGTTGGACTGGTCTTTCAGCAGCCTGACCTAGCGAAAGATGTCCGCCTGTGACAGAGTGGTTTGACTGGAGAATCTTTAAAGGTCCCTTCTGACGAAACCATTCTATGCTTTTAAGGTGATGAAGGAGATAATCCTGGAAAACATTTTCAGGCACATGAAGGACAAGAAAATCATCAAGAATTGTCAGTGTGGATTCACTAAGTGGAAATCATGCTTGATCAACTTGATGAAATGGCTGGCTAGGCAGATGAGACAAGAGCAGTGGATATAGTCTACCTAGACTTCAGGAAGGCTTTTGACATGGTATCCCCTAAGATCCTTATAAACAAGCTAATGAAGTATGGATTGGATGAGCAGATAGTGAGGTAGATTAAAAATTGAATGAATAGCTGAGCTTGGAGAATGGTGATCAGTGGCATAAGGCTAGTTGGAGGTCACTGACTAGCCATGTACCCCAGGGGTCAATACTGGATCTAGTCCTGTTCAACAGCTTCATTTATGACCTGAATGGTGGGCTAGAGTGTACCCTCACCAGGTTTGCTGATGACACGAAACTGGGAGGGATGACTGATACACTGGAGGGTCATGCTGCCATCCAGAGGGACTTTGAGAGGCTGGAGAAACGGGCTGACAGGAACATCATGGAGGTCAACAAGGGGAAGTGCAAGGTCCTGCACCTGGGGAGGAACAACCAGCTGAAGGGCCGACCAGCTGAAGGGTAGTTTGGCAGAAAAATCCTGGAAGTCCTCCTGATAGACACCATGTTGAACATAAGCCAGGAATATGCCCTTGCAGTGAAAAATACCAATGGTATCCTGAGCTGTACTAGGAGGAGTGCTGTCAGCAGGTCAAGGGAGGTGATCCTTCCCCTCTGCTTAGCACTGATGATGCCACGATTTGAGTGCTGTGTCCCATTCTGGTGTCCCAGTACAAATGAAATACGAATGTACCGGAGAGAGTCCACTGAATAACTACATAAGATGAAGGGACTGCAATAACTGAAGGGAGGGTGCAAAGAGAATGAAACCAGGCTCTTTTCAGTGGTGCCCAGTGATGGGTCAAGAGGCAACAGGCACAAAATGAAACACAGGAGGTTCCCTCTGAACATCAGGGAACACTTTTTTCCTGTGAGGGTGACCGAGGACTGGCACAAGTTGCCCTGGGAGGTTGTGGAGTCTCCATCCTTGGGGGTATTCAGAAGCCATCTGGGCATTGTTCAGAATAATCAGCTCTAGATGGCCCTGCTTGTGTAGGGGAGTTGGACCCGATGACCTCCAGAAGTCTCTTTCAGATTCACCCACTCTGCAATCCTGTGAAATTTACAGAGCACATTATATTCAGCCTAAAAACCCCTCACTAGACATCTTCTATTAGTTTTATGGATGTGGCCAAAACATCATATACGCACAACAATTTTCTTTCTTTCAAATGAAAGATTTAAAATAAGGTATTTGATCATATAGCTAATAAGAAACAATGTCAAGTGTGCTGATAGACCAGGACAGTTAAAACTCCTTGGAGATTTACAAAGTCATTGAGAGAAACTGTAGAACTTCTGTAGAACCCGTTGAGCTTTAGCTCTCTTACTAAACTAACCCTACCTTTATAAGAGGAATAATACAGCACTCACTAATTTTCAAATGCATTAAAGACCTAGAAATGGTCGTCCAACAGGCACTGCCAACAAGGAAAATCACTCACAGAATCACCTTAAATGGTAATTAGGAGTCACAAGGGAAGTGATTTCACTTAGTACAAGGAGAGCAGTGCCAACTAGATGCACTCTCTGAGATGTCCCTCTTGGGTGCTCTAGGAAACAACTTCCTATTTATACTCATTTCCTTCCACAGAAGCGAACTTGCCAAACAAAATGCATTTTGCAGTACTTTCCAGACATGAAAGAAAAAAAAATTAACATGCACTGAGGTCAAAAAACTCTGTTTCTGACCTGAAGTGGATTCCAACTCATACTGCTTCAGGTATAAGGATAAAGAATTAAAACTCATTCATAGCTATGTATTGATGCTTGTGCCAAATCATAAGAGAGTGAATAATATTAGTAATCACAATGACACCACAGTTCCAGCTGCCATCATATTCAGAGACAGACCTGACATTCCAGGGTCATTAATCTAAGAAATCAAACCACATCTAGTTTTGAATACATTTTATAAAACCAAACAAGTTAGTAATTTCCAGCCAGTAAGAATTTTCTGCCGAATTAGCATGAAAATCTGCAAAGAGGTCTGAAACATTTGATTTGACCTTAGCTTAACAAGCAAGAAGCAACTTTCTGAACACTATTTTTAATGACTTAGCCTTTATTGTAGAGCTGCTACTGAATATGATTATACTGAATACTGAGGACTCGTTCCCGTTAGAGACTGAGATTCACATTTTTTATCACAATGTATTTTGTCATTTCATAAATAAGTATCAGCTGTTTGTAACACCTACCTTTGATGCCAACTCCCCAGGTTCCTTTCTTTCTAAAAAACCAGACACTTGAGGAAGCTCATCATTCTTGAGCTCAATACTCCATATATACTGCAATGTTAGCAGTAAATTTCCATAGAAAACCATGAATGGTGAGCTGATCATGGCGTATTTCCTTCGGTCCCGGATCATCCACAATGTGCAAGACCAAATCAGTAACACAAAAGTCAACCAGCTGTGATATGTGATACTCCACGCCTTGTGGAAGGAGGAAAGAGGAAAAAATGTTTACAGATGCATTCAGGAACAACACTGATGCCTACTGCCACTTACTTACACTTAACTTATGCTTCTCTATCACCTTGGCAAGGTTTGTAAGCAGATTCATTGCTTCTCATTACACCAAACTAAAAGAGATGAAAAACAGACCAACTATTGGGCACACAAGACCATCTTGAAAAAACCAGCAGCAAAGAATCCGGAGTAGGAAGAGCAAAACATATTCAACCACTATGCCACTCAAGGCTTTTGAGAGACTTACAAAACTATGCTAACTCCATACTGTGCTAGCTTTTGTGGTATCAATTTAAAATGGAAAACTACGGTATGAACACACTGCACATACCTAACCTGAAGAACACATAGCCTGCACTAACCATCTTAGATTACCTGAAATACTCACAACTATAGAGTATTTTCTATAGTTGCATAAATCAGTTACTGAAAATTGCTCTATTAAACACTCAGGGAAAGGGATTGGGGTTTTAAGTGTTTTCTAATTAAGATTATGTTATCGATTTAGGACTAAACTCATATATATATATATATATATATCTGATACAGCTGTGGAATAACTGTCAATAATGCATTTTATATTCCTTCTCAATTTAAACAGAAAAATGTGAAACATTAAGAATATTTCAATCAGTTTAGTTCAGTCCCCTTGGAAATAACATCTTTTAAGGGTATGTGAAAAAACACCAATGTGCTACTTCTCCATCCCTGTATAAGAAAATAACTTAAACTGAGATGCTTTTGGCTATGGTATAAGTGGAACTTATATCAGATCACACTATAAATAAATTCATAAATTAATTTGGGTCACATAGACTAGGGATATAGCACTAAGAAAAAAGCTAGCAGTGTCTCAGTATTAAACTGCAAGAAAGCTCTTCAAATGTATCTTCTCCTTTGAGAGATATTAAAGGAATTAATTTAAAGAATTAAAAAGGAAAAGCAGATCATATGAAGCACGTGAGCTTAAAATACAGGAAAAAGAGGAATTGTGTCAATGTGAAAACTACTTGCTAATGTCTTGGAATGGATCAAACCCAGATGCTGCACAAGGAGTCTGCCTAATTTAGTTGAGAAATTTTTCCTGTTAAAGGATAGCAAATAAAGTCTGAAACTTTACGTAAACAAAAAGCAGCCAAGCTAATCTGTTTTACCATTTTGAATGCAAAATTGTGCTACAAAGCTTTATGGTCAATTTCATCACAGTTGAAACTTTTCCAAAACGGTAAAGCCAAAGCTTGCACCGGTAATATGGAGAGAGATCTAATCATTATGCTGAAAACTTGTGACAGCGCAGCTCAAGGTATTTGCCTCAAGCGGGCTTAAAAGCCAGGAACAACATAAGAAAGAGAATAAAGATGGTAAGTAAAACAATAGCAAAATCTTGCTTGGCATTAAGTTGTATTTTCCTTGAGAACTTTCTATGTCAATATAGGAAATTGGGCTTTATAGAGCTTTTCTTTTCAGAGAGTAACTGGATGCATGTTTCAGTCTGGAATAGGAACTATACTTTTAAAATTTACTTTATCGCTATGAAATGCTTTAATTTTCTACCCTAATTTCTGAGTGGAGCAAAAGGATGAAAAGTCTGCTTATGCAGAAGCTTAGGAATCAACAGAAAATTGAGTCCCGTTGGTTTTCTGCCAATCAACAGACAACAAAACCTGGGGCTCCCAATCCTGGAAATGTGATGCTTTAACCAAAATCCCACATATTGCCCTATCATTGGCTGGACTTGATGATCTAAGAGGTCTTTTCCAGCCTCAACAATTCTGTGATTTATAGGTCTATAACAGACCAGGATTATGCATTAATAACCTAAAACGGACCCAAAATGATTCAGATGCCATATTGATATTTTCTAACCCTGATGCAAACTCTTACTGAAAACCAATTGATGAGATTACTTTTAGGAAAACATTGAAAAGACACATTTATTTGTAAAATTAATAGATTTTCATTGCTGTTTTTTTGCCAGTACTTACCATCATAGCTATCAGAGCACAAATGTAACTTTGTTTCATGATAAACTGGAACACGGAGACTAGGGCATGTAATTTAACATTTTCTTTTTCCTCCTGAGTAGGTTCCTCTTCCTCTTCTTCCTCCTCCTCCTCCTCTTCCTCTTCCTTTTCTAAGTAGAAAAAGAAATTCTTATCTGCAATTCATGCTGGTCTGAAGGTAGCAGTTGCACTCTCTCCTGAAATGATTTCACTTGTAATCACTCTGATGGATATCTCTACAGCAAGCTTAAGATGGAAGCCAAAGAAAAATTTCATTTGAGCACAGTAAAGCAACACAAAACCTGCAATCACTGTGTTGGTTAGCAAAATATTTTGGATAGTATATGTCCAGTTTACAAAATTGCCCTTTTAAAAAAATATCAAAAATCATTGTATTATTTAACTCCAACAGGCCAAAGAACTTACCAAGACGAAAATAAATGCTAGAAGCAGTGACTCGAGATACAGAATAAGAAAAAAAATATGGAGCTAAGGGTAATTCCCAGGCAGTTCACTACCTGACATGTCATCCGAACGCTCCCACTTGTACTGTGGTGTTGAGTACATGTCTGCTTTGGCCGGGCCATTTTCTAATGGCAGCGCGGGGTGGATGGTGTGATAGTCAGCAGGGTTCCCGTTCACTGTTACCAGCAGCACCTGCCAGGACATCGGAGAGAGGCACTGCAATTTAGGGTGGCTCTTAGGAGAATGAGACTCCTATTTCTGTGCTCCCCTGCTGTTGGATCGCCAAAGCTAAAGGAGCTTAACAAATAACTGCAGTTACTTCCTCCCAAAGAAACTGATGTTAGTTAGGTCACATGCAAAAGTAGCGCGTAACAACTTCAAAAATTAATTGTTGGTAGCTTTTTATGAAAATCAATAGAATTACAATTTTGTTTTAGTGAAGTTCTTTAGAAAACAGTAAAATGCTGCTGCAACTTTAAACTTCTGTAAATATTTCTTTTAAAAAACATTTCAGGTTTACTTTCGAATTCCGAGAATGTCACATTGCATTAGGTAGCACTTCAATTTACACACAAGCAGTCTGAAAAGAAATAAAAGTGTGGATCCACAAGAAAAAGCAAAGAAGTCATCTAAGCCATAGTAAATGACTATTTGCTTGCTCTTGACCTGTCCTAGCTATGAAATTAAGTTGAAAGAAAAAACAGCATAAAGGTGGACTAAGTTAACACATCCACAGCTGGGGAAGGTTGAGGTTGACCATGTGGCTCAGTGCACAAACAGTAGCTCAGTAGCACCCATCTTCAGATACCCTGCCTTTACCAGGTTAAACTGGCTTTTTACAGTCAAGCTAGGAAAGTATCATTACATCTCCCAAGTTTAAATTAAAGCTGTAACCAAAAATTCAACCTCCTTCTTCGGCAAACTAATATGAGATTTTTAGACTTTAGTTCACATCTAACTATATCCAGTAGTTACGAAAGTAATGGTTATAGATTACTTTTAATTTTGGGTTATTACTAACGAGATCTACATTTGTTGCCACTAATAAAACCAGTCACGGCAATTATTTTTATTGATGCCACATTTATGCCATTTGGTAGTAATAATTCAACGTTCTTTCACTGTTTTACTTTTGTGCCTTACATTTCAGCCCTTGTGCTTGTTTGAATTAGGGCTCAAGCAACCACAATCATAAATACTTCTGGTATTGGCAGAAATTCACATGCAATGGGTTACTGATGGTAGTACATGTTGATTACTGGCTTTTGCTTAGGCTGTTAGAAAGGAGTGTATTTTGCCTGTTGAAACTATGCACAGGCACATGTGGACTATTACAGAATAGTATCCGGGTTCTGTTTAGTTATACTCAGCAGCTACACCAAGCATAGGCTGTACAGCACATTTAGATTTGGTTACAGCTGCTCCCAAAGCTCATGTGCATCTCCATTCCTCCGTGTATGCTGAACAGGGGAGACGTTTGTGCTTTCAGAGTCTGCTAGGGTCTACAGCAGTCAAGATGAATGGATCATTTGATGTCTGTTCAAACAAAGACTTGGGTTTTCTGTAATCTGCAAATTGAACTCATGTGTTGTCAGTCATGCTTTAAGGGCCTCAGCATTTCAACATGAATGAAAGACAAAAGTACAGCAAAGAAGCTAAACAAAGTTTAAAGATGGCTTGCATTAGAAAGCATATTCTGATATCTTATTTAAACTCAATGAAATAGCAAAGACCTTTTGCCAGCTGGTACAATGACAAGCAGATTAATTGCAAATTATAATTTTTAGGGCTAACCAGGGGCTTCTCAGTGCAATCATTAAGGAATCAAAACCCAATGTTATTTAGGTTTATCAAGGTTATAGTGTAAATGGCAGGCCAACAACAATAAATAACTTTAAAAAATGTAAGCTAAGGTTTGATCTGTATATATCAGTGTAATCTCTATTTATACACATTAAGAAGAATTACAAAATTACAAATACTGGTAGTATACTAACATCCGATGGCTTGTATTCATCTTGAGTCACTGACAGAAGCTGCAAAAAGCAATGCAAGGACAAATTATTAAAGAAGCATGGCTCAAGCATTAATAAGTCAAACTTTTCGAATACATGCATGCATATTTGCTGACTTTTGTAGATTTGTACTAGGAAATTCAGAAAGAATTCCTAAAAAGTCAGCAGAATTGTACACTATGCTCCACAAAATGATTAGTATGCCATGGCATTGAAATAAGTTTACTGCATGGTTCTTGTGAATTCTAAACAAAAACTGAGAATGTTGCACTGAAATTTTCAATACTAGGTCAAAGAATTAATCAGTATAGCATTATACTGATTAACTGCTTTCTAATGTCTTTCTAATGATCCAGCGCTTAAAAACCAAGTTTTTAAATGATCATTAGAATTACTGTAATTATAAAAATACTTCCAGTTAAGTGCTTATATTAATATAAAATGTGACACTTCATTCATTTTCCAGCTCATTTACCATTACTATTACCATGGTGTAGCTCTTTGGGTTTGAGTATAGGTGGCCCAGCAGAGTGTTTGTATATCCCAGATTTGACTGCAACTCGTCAATATCACCAGCAACGCAGCTGGTGAGGACAGGTGACAGAAAGCTGGACCTTCCTGGGAGCTTTTACACCAACAGCTTTAACTGCCCTGCTATAAATATCCAACACGAACACCAGCATCCTTGGAGGAAGATAAGCTGGCAGTCTCCCATTACCAATGACAGTGCTAATTAGTAGCTACAAGGCAGATCAGATCTTTACATCAGGATTTATCTTCCTGACAGATTTTCTAGCTGTTTTGCACAAAGATCATGGCCTCATGCCAAAAGCCTGGCCCTAAACTTCTTAAACGCAGAAGCTGAAAACTTAGAGCATGCTCTTCATTTACTTCCTTACAATGGCTCTTGGGTTTGTTTTATTAATTGTTACAAAATATATTGCTACTCTGCCGCACAGCCTTGATATTTTATCTGACTGACATAATCACATGTGAATATCTTCTTACTTGCAACCTATATACTTCTGTTTCCCTCAGTTTCTATGATAACTATGATAAAATCAACTGACTGACTCAAACATAGTTGATGCAGAGACCCTTGTCCCTCCAGCCTTACCTTTCTCTCATCAGTTGTATAGTGGCTGGCATACCACAGACTGCGCCGTCTCTCCGCTGTCATTGGAACTGGACTGCAGGCTATTTCTTTGTCATCTTCCCTGCTAACAGATTTCCCTTCGTCAGGCATCTGCTGAACAATACAAATGACAAGACTAGTTATAGTTCTCTAAATAACAATCTTACCAGAGGATTTTAAATTTTCCCCTAATTGATGTTCCGTCTCCAAAGTATGTCTTTGAAACTTCTTTTAGTGTCTAATGCAATCGATCTATGACAGATGACTTTTACTGAGATGACACTTTCAGAAATGATGACATAACTTTTCTGTAACTGCTAATCCTTCAGTGCCAACATATTTTCTGACAGTTATAAGACACCAGAATTACACAGATCTCCACATAATACTTTACTATTGTCATACCATAAACTAGTATACAGGTGTTTAACTTTCAAGGCTGTGTATTGAAAGAAATTTCACTCTTCTCATCTGCCAATATATATGCTCCACAAAACAACTGAAGAACTGGAAAGATCAAAATCTTTTGAGCATATGTATCTACTGTTAAAGCTCAACCTAGCTCACCAATTCATGCCTCAATACGTAACAAAGTAGTCAGTGCTGGTCATCAATCCAGGCTCATATAGTCTGGCTTCTGAGTCAAGTCATAAAAATGCCTCTTTGTGTGCTCATATTCACAAGTAGGCGACCAGAAAAAGCAAACATAGATTTACCAAGGGTAATCTGATCGCTTTTTATGCTGAAACAACTGACTGAGTAGATGAAGGGAAAGCTGTGGATGTCAGCTACCTTGATTTTAGCATCTTTGACACAATGTCCCACTAAAATCTTTGCTGACAAGCTGGTAAGATATGGACTTGACAGATGGCCCACAAGATGGGTGGAGAACTACTAGCTAAACTGTCTTGCTCAAGGTAGAGTAATGGAGGCTCAAAGTCAAAATGCTAATCAGTCATGAGTGGAGATCCTTGGGGACTGGCAGGAGGTCTGGTACTATTCAGTATCTTCAAAACTATCTGGATGGAATTGCACCCACACAAATTTTGTGAATAACACTGAACTGGGAGATGAGATAAATGGGCCAGAAGGAAGAGCCACCATACAAAGATAGGCTAGAGAAGGGCCAACAAAGAATGCATAACGTTTAAAAAAAACCAAGTCCTGCATCTGGAATAAACCCACAGAACAGTAAAGGCTGTGTGGGAAGCAGCTCTGTGGAACAGGCTCAGGGTGTGCTGGTGCACAGCAAGCTGAACACGAGCCAGCAGTGAACTCTGGCAGCAATAAAGGCAAACATGTCCTGGACTGCATCAGCAAGAGCACTGCCAGCAGATCAAGGGATGTGATTGTTCCACTGTACCTGGCAAGTGTCAGGCTATACCTGCAATTCAGTTCTGGCATCCCCCAGTTCAAGAAAGGCACAGAAAATCTGGAGATGGTCCATCAGAAAATTGCCAAGATGATTAGAGGGCTGGAGAAGGTGAAGGATACAGGTATTACTTTTTGTTTTCAGTCTTCCAATACTGAAACTGTAGTTTTAGAGAAGGCAAATGTACTCTTCTCACAGGTAGGCATAGTTACAGGATAAGAGACTAAGGGCATAATTTGTTTCAGGGAAAGGCCTTCTAAATATATAAAAAGTTATATATTTCACCGTGAAAACAATTAAACACTGGCAATAGCTGCCTTTGCTGAGAACATTGAAGAATTGGCCCCAGACAACCTAATCTGAGGTCCTACTCTCACAAGAAGTTGCATGCGATGATTTCCAGAGGTTCCTTCCAATCTGGGCTGTTCTATCTCTCTGCGATTGTCTATGACCCACGTTCTCTACTTTTTTTTCTGTGGCAGGAACTAAATTGAGGAGGATTGCTAACACACAGGTCCTAACTTCATCTTAATTCCATGGCCCAGCAGAGATAGGAGCCTTTCAGATAGACTTAACATGGATGTTATAGCACAGTGACAAGTGGGAGACCTATGTACAGGTACAGAAGTGATACTAGGTCCTCTTCGGCCTCCTCCAGACCTCTTCCTGCACTATGCCGCTTTTTCTTGAAATCCTGAACCTCTCCCTTGAACCTCTGAGCTGTCACAAAGAAGCAAAACCTTATTGTTGATACCAGTGAGAGGAGGAAGCTCAACCATGTGGTGCTAGAGGGAGGAAGGGTGCTCTGGAGCCAGTGGACTGCATGTGAAAGCTGTGAGCATCTCCAGCATGGTGCTGCTCAGCAGGACTCACTGGCTCACTGGGTTATCAACAGCAAGAAGTTACCACTACTGAAGTTAGTCCACTCTCTGCCTTTGCCCAATTTCTCATTTTGAATCTTAGACTCTGACCCTACTTTTGTTTTCATTAGTATTTGCCCTATCTACCTCCTTAGCTTTCCGGTTTCTCCTCTCCTCCCAAGATTTCATGTGGTTTTTAGATTTTTGGCTCTGATGGAAATAATAAGTACTCAGAATTTCAGAGGAAGGGATGCAAGAGCATAAAGTGAATATTATGGAATAATAAAAGCAGTGGCTCTTCCATTCTGCCATCCATTAATGCCTGGATGCTTATCTCAGAAGTAGTAGGAATGGTGAGGACTGAAAGGTAGACACACCTATGCTTTGAAGTACTGCCTTAAAAAACCTGTTTTCCTACATAAACAAATGCTGTACTACTAAATATACATACACGTGATTCTAATAAGAAATGAAAAATGCTTGAGTTGGGTTCTACACTGCTGTTGAAGTTAGGAAAACTCAGCAAACTTTGAATTACTAAAGTCAAAGAATTACTAAAACTCTACTTCCCTCCCCATCACAACCTCCACTGGTATCAGTTGTTTAGAATATTGAGCCAAATTCTCATTTGTACATCTGTAAGGTCTTGTTTCATAAAATCACTCCAATTCAGGAAAGCACACAAGTGCTTGTGCAACCTGGAACCTGGGGCAAGGTCTTACTGACTTCAGTAGGACTTCCATGGAGGTTCAGGAACTTTGCTGAGCTACAGCCAAAATACAGACAACATATCAGCTTTAGTAATGTACAAACTACAAAACAACTGGTCAAGTCAAGTAACTCATATTTTATTTCAACTTGAACAGTCCGTTTGTAAGGAGTTAAAATTTTTCACTTGCCTATTTTGTCCTCTCTACTTAGCAGATACTATTTCTGGTTCAAATGAAGTTTTACTAAGTTGACTCTTGGTTTGCAGCAGAAATATCCATCTGCCCTGGTACTTGCTGTTTTATTTAAACTCCACCTACTGCCAACAAAGAGATATCTCATGCTTTTTGTCTGAATTTGAGGTGTTTCAAAGATAAGGTCCCAAATTATGCTTTTAATGGGAACTAGCCTGTGGTGAGTGTTTTCATTGCTTATGCAAAGCAGCTGATGCAATGGAGTAAGAATAAATCAGGATGCTGGGCAGAGGTCTACAAAGCTACCCATGGGAACTGGACATCCAAACACGCTAGCTGGTTTTGAAACTCTCTCCATTCCAATCCTAACAGTATGGCCTTTTTTTTTTTTTAAAAAAAATCTTTACTTAAATAAACAATGGTTATTAATTTAGTTGTACCTCAGAGGCAACAGTAGCACATTTCACATATGACTGTGCATTTATATTTGATCGTGAAAGGGCATTCCTAGCCAAACTGTAAGATGAAATAAACTGATTCTGTGCTTAAAATACTTGTTATTGCCATCTAAAACTTTAATATAAACGTGGACTATACAGAACTATTTATCAACAGCGTTTAGTTTGGCACCAGAGGGACAAAACAATACCAAAAGATCTAAGAGACAATGATTTTAGTAACATATTTTTAGCCTAAGAGACTACAGAGGATGGTGGGAAATCTGTTTTCTTTCTCAGAAGAAAATGCAGCACTACTCATATGACTACAACTTTAAAGAGTCCTTGGACTTGTCTAATTCTAGTTCTTCCACTACCTGGGCAACTCTCAAATGCCTCTTAATTCAACGAGTTCTAAAATTTCTATAAGAGAACTCTACATTAAAATGCTGTAACTCAGTTGACTTCTTTACTATTCCTTACCACTCACTGGACAGAATGAATGGGCCCTATTCATATACTCAGTACTAGCAGCTACAACTGTGAGCTGAAATCTCCAGAGACAGATTGCCTCTTCTTACATGCAGAGGTAGAATTTCATAAGACTCAATGTTAGAACAGATCAGGACCCAAAAGAGTAGGCATAAGGAAAGCAAAACTTCCACTGACTGCCAAGGGTGTTTTGCCTCAGTAAGATCCACACAGAATCCCACACAGAGATCATACACTGAAATCTCACGCGTGCCATGCTATGACACACTGCGGCGCACGCACAAAGACTTCACCCTGAAACTCCAGATACGTAAAATTCAGCTGCAGCATTCAGAGATATTCTGAAAAGCATCTGTCTCAGAGACAACTCCTGCTTCAATCCAGCGGGAACCTTGTCCACAGGAGGATCCCAAGATGAAATTCACACAAGAAGGACAAAACAGCAGGTCTCTGTGTCTTACTCCATTTTTAGAATCTGCTATGCCAGTGTTATAATTAGCTTATGTACATCTTTTTAGACTGCATAAATATTTTCTTACGCGTAATCTATCAGACACATTATGTACAAAACAGGTTTTGTTCAAGAGATTCTTCGAACAAAATTTCTAAGAAGAGAGAGTGTACCTGACAGCAATGTGCAGAGAAAGATTAATTACTGATCTATGGCACCACTAAAGACAAAACAAAATGCACACAGACACACACACAAAAAGCTATAAGGAGCAAGTGTGTAAAATATGGTAAATTTCGCAAATCTCAGCATCTCTTTCTAAGGAAAAATACATCTCTACATCCTGTGCATCAAAAATAACCATTAATGCATGAGTATTGTGTTCTGCACAATATTCTCTTTTTAAGTGTCCATTTACCTGCAGTGGAAAGAAACATTCCCCTGGCTTCTGGAATTCCCACAAGAGTGCCAAGACTTATGCAGCCATGGGTCTGAGAGATATCAACTTTTCTTAAATTAATCTCTTTTAATACTTAGTCTCTCTAGCTCAATTGCTTGGAAAGCATCTCTAATTGGACTTGTTTCTAGTTCCAAGAGACTGATTTTAATGTCTTATGGGAATATCCATCTCAGACAACACAAGTAGTCTAAAATAAAGAAGTGCAGGGGAGTCCAATACAGTTCGTCTTCTCTAGTCCTTGGAGCAACTTTCAGAATTAACTCTATTGTGAGACAGGCAGGCTCATTTCTCTCCACTGCAAAAGCCCAGCAACTAACTTGGACCCAACACCAAACTTTAAGATGGTGAAAGTTGGATGGAAACAACTTGGGTAGTGGAAACGAATTCCCAGAGATGTTGAGATCACACAGCTTCCACTAACTGCATTTCACATGTGGTTACTCCTCTGTGAGTTGTTCTCATGATTTTACTGCACAGTTTGTGAGATGTGAAGTTTTAGTTACTGCTCCAATGCTAAAATCACATTATTATCTGGAAATCTCAGCTTTCACTTAAGAAAAGAAAAGAAAAAACTAAGTTTCCAGCTGCCCTAGCTGAAAAAGACCCCCACCAAAACCCCCTCAAACCCTAAAAGAACACAATGCTGGATGGCACAGGACCACAGCCTTCTGACTTTAGAAAAGCCAATCTTAACATTTCTGGAAACTAAAGACATGATTTTTAATAACTCAAGCTGACAGTTCTGGCATCATTCAACTTCTACTATGAAGCCCAATATACGTGAACTCCAAGTATCAGGCATCTCAATTCAGAGGTGATGTATTTTATCTGCCTTTTTAAAGGTTAAACTGTTACATTATCCACTATATGAAGAAAAATCCTTAAAGTAAGAAAATCTTCAACATTTTCACTTGCTACTACAAGCTCCACTAATTCACAGCTTAGTCATAAGCATTTTCTTTGTGGTTTACAGCACTGCTAAATCTGAACTCTGAAACTCACGTCAAGCCTCAGAGGATCAGGAGATTAAAATAAATAATGTTTAGGATTGTCCTTTTTGTACTTCCAGTTTCTAAGCTTTTAAGATACCTTTAGGTTCTTGTATTCCCTTTTCCCTCTGAAACCAAAAGTAAAAACTGAACTTTTGTCTCCTTTTTCTCTTGCACTTGCTGTCTATTCCCCTTAACTTTCCTGAATGTTTGCACCTCTATTAGCAAGTAAATGCACTGGCCAGTGTCACAGTCATTAGTGCTAAAAAAAGAGAAGGAAGTTACCCTTACAATGGGCTCTTGTAGCCAGAGACGGATAAGAGTTGCGAGGGTGTAGTACATCACCAGCAGTAAGACTGGATTAGCGTGGTGATACCAATGCAACTCTTGATTTTTGATGATCATCCAAGTGCTTGAGCAGTTCGTCTGCGTAAGAGAAGTGACGCCGAACAATCTGTGAATATAAAAAAAACCCAAACCAAGTTAGAGAATAAACATCACGTCTTACAATATTTAAATTATTTTTTCTGGGGGTAATTTTTGCTTACCTATAATACCAATTGCTCTGTTCAGAAATAGCATGTGTCACTATTTAAAATGGCAGTGAATATTTTCATTCCACGTATTTAGTGAAAAGGAATGGATTTTGCACTTGGTTTTCAACACAAAAAATAGGAGCATAATATAATTACATCTACCATGTCCAATGTGAAAACTTTAAATGACCTGCACCCTGTAGGCCCAGAGCTACAGAAAAACGGGAGAAAAAAATCTGGAAAAAAAATCATTTGGCAAATCACATCAACATGACATTTCAGAGTGATTTAGGGAACTGACATACAACACCATTCCACTCACTCCGCCAGGACATAGCTGTAAAGTACATCTCCTTGGCACATCGAACGGTGTACTGATTTTTTATTTTTTAAAAATGCTATTACTATTAATAAATTGCCATCTAATTATGCAAACTCTTATACAGAGCTCCACTAATCTCACAGCTGTTGTGAACAGATAAGGAAAACATTCAGAAAGGCAACTGTTCTGGACAATCGAATCATTGATTAAAAAAAAAGAAAAAAAAGAAGTAAAATTAATTTGATAATTAGCATTAATGTAGTTGCACTATTAATATCAATGACATGAGATATTTGACTATTTCTGGAAAAAAATGAGATCTCATAATATTTCTGTGAAGGAAGAAACTTACTCTGGAAAAGTCTCTTAAGAATAAATGAATAAAAAATCCCACAAGACTTCAAGATAAAAGTTAGATGCTTTGTAGATGTGTTAGATGCTCAAACAAAACTAATGGGAATTCATAATTAATCTGACTCTTTCCTTGTAAAATATTTTGCAGAGTTCCAATGCTAGGGCATGCAGCTACCAGTGGCAAATGTCAGTATTCACTATATACAGTTTTGTTCTATGGACAAAGCTTCTACAAGGTGCATGAGAGTTTTCAATTTTTACAAGAAACAGATTTGTTTATAAAAGACATTAAAGGAGAACTATTTCTTGATATAACAAAAAAATCCCAAACTATTGTTACTCTGAAAGAGTAAACCAAATACACTTTTTTAAAAAGTTGTTCTGCTAGGAGACTTAATCGTAAATAGTAAATGTCTAAAAGATTACTTCTTCCTTTACCTAGTAAGATCCAACATGAAAGAGTGAATGAATACAAAGAATAAGTATGATATTCAACAGGGATGTGCTGCCTGAAATCTGCCCTTTGGATGCTGTAAAGTGAAAAGAATATAAAAAAGTAGAAGTTATACATTTTCATTCACTGGGGGTTTGTGGCATGGGTATAATACTATTCACTGCCAGAACTAGAGCTCTATAGCATTTTATTAAACAATTTATCAGTGCGCACTTTTCATTCTGATTGTCAACACAAGCCAAAGGCTATAAACTTTAAGACTTCTCAGAGCTTTTGGGTGGATCCATGGTTGGAAAAGAAAAAAGGAAAAAAATATCTTGCATACAAAATAAACTGTCATAACTTAAGGGAGCTGACTGAGCTGTGTTTGGAATTGACCCAGATTCAGACTTCCATAGCATCCAAGCACATTTGGGGCTGGTGTTACGGTTTGGCTCCATCTGACTGAAATTCACGCTGGATTGTATTCTGTTCATATTTCTATCAGCATAGGGGAACAGCTTGTTTTGTCTGCTTTCCTCTCTGCCAACTGACTTATAATTTTTGCCCCTCAACGATCAGGGTTGTTGAGTTCTCATTAGTTTCATCTTCTGCCTCTGCTTATCCATACATCTCTCCTTCTTTGGTTCATGTTACGCTTTTCTATGTAAATTCAGTACAAATCACTCTATTTCTGTTTAATAAACATATCAGAATCAGATTGGAATCCAATTCTTAATGAAGCTAACAAGCCTTTCCATTGACAGTGAGTAATGAGTATTTCCTACAGAAATGAGGGAAAGTTCCTGAAGGTCCTTGGACCTTTCTGCCATGCAGACATGATCTTCGTATCACATATTCCATTCCTATATTATCTTTTATAACGCACCATAACTAAAGCCTCAAAAATGTGTTTTAGTCTTATCTCCACTAAAAAATAACATTCTACATAATCCTACGTGTTAGGAAATTGCATTATGTTTTAATTAATTTCTCATTCTCTTAGTTTCATTTGCTTGCTTCAAATTATCCACACATTACACTACTGGACTTAATTCCGCTCCCTTCTGGTCTTGCATTCACTAAGTACACGGTAAGTGACAATGCACCTCTTCCCTCTTAGTTGCCACCTGACCAGCAACGTATTTATTTAACCCATTTCTTTTTGTCTCATAATTCATGAATTTAGAGAAACTGCTTCTCATTTCTGAATTCTCCTTGGTTTTTGAGACTTGTTAGTCACAAAAGTACTCAAATAACTTTCCCTATCTATCAAATTCAAAATACACTGTCATCTTGGGAACACTCATTCTGTCTGTTCTGGCCTAGAACAAGTTGCTACTCATTCAATATTCATCCTTCATCATTATCTCCAGTGAAAACTGCTGTTGCTGAACATTTTTCAGAGACAATAGAGCTATATTCTCTTATTCAAAGCCTTTAAATACACAGGAATGACTGCCATAAAACGTATAAGCATTTACAGCAAGCAACATATGTTAGAGCATTACTCAGTTCTGCATGCTTCATTCCACAAAGACCTTCATTCAGTATTGATCATGATCAGCTATATTTGTGCCCAATGCTGATCTTAGTGTGACTTAGCCAACACACACATACACAGTCACTAAAGTCAGAATGAGTCCTAAGTTGGCGAAACAGATGCCAAACAAGACAAGTATCCATGCCTGGGTACAGAAGATAAACAGAACAAGTACCAAAAGACCATTTACTACTGGAAATACTTTGCTTTTCAAAAGACTGTATGTAACATCAAAAACCACTGGAGGTTTGCAAGATGTAATAGATTAATCTTTCTACTCTTGCAAAGAAGCAGGAATTGTGTTTTTCAAAGTCCCCGTTAGTATTTTGAAAAATGCATTTCATAAAAAAAAAAAGTAGAGCAGAAATCATTTGGAAAATTTTAGAAGTCATAAAGGGCCAAGAGGAACTTGATTGTCTGATTGAGGAATGCTCTGAAATAACACAGTGAAAAACAGTTTTAAAATAAAGGTGGTATGTTTTTGTCCAGCTCCTACTCTATAAGCTTGTTTTCCCAGCAAAGCTTCCTACTGAATCTGTGAATAATTTTTCTGACAGATGCACTTTCATCTTCTGTGACTCTGACAAAGCTCTAAGCTGTGACCATAAGTTCTATTACTGCATAATGTGCATCACTAAAACTTCTCCAGCATGTATTATTTAATTATTACATTAATAGAGTATAAGAACTGGTATCAGTAATTAGTCATGGTATTAAATATGAACAAAAATGGTTACATAAACAAAAAAACAAATATATGTCTCATATACAGAATTATCAAACACAGAAACCACAGATCTGCTAGGTCTGTGAATTTTGCCACCAGTAAAAATGATCAGAAAACTTTTCTTTGTAAAAATGTATTTGTCAGTTCAGATCCTGCATGCACTGATGTTTTAGGAGTTGAATTCAGACCAGGATTTGCTTCATAATTTCCAAGGCCAGGAAGTAATAACCCTGACTTCCTGCACAATGTAAGACACACAATAATTCTTGTATTGAACAAACAACCTGTGGTTGAATTACAGTTTATAGTTTACAAAGGCATCCAATCTTGATTTCAACTGATAGCAAATCTTCTCTACCACATTTAGTTTCTACAACAGTTTTGCCTAGATGAGATTTCCAGTTGCTCCATCTTCCTACGAATCTGTGCATGACTTTACATACTACTTTCCACTACACAACAGAGCAGGAGTCATTTCCCTGTATCTTCTCTGAGCTCACACAAGGTTTACAGTTTGAATAAAAAGTCTGCATCAAGCCACTTCAGGAGCTGTATTTCCTGATTTAGTATTTATAATTATAAGATTTTTTTTGCTGAGGCCACTATATATTGGGTGGTTATTCATAACAATGGCACTGTGCTGGGTTGGACTTGAAGAATCCATCTTTAAAGAATTTCTGACTTTGTGTTGGATTTTATGAACCATCTAAATCTGTATTTCATCTGGATATCTTCTCTTGCATATTTATTTCACTCTCCTCACACAGAAGGAGAGTGGAATGGTGCCTGCAAATCTGGGGTCGGAGAATGGAATATCAAGATTGACTGACATTTGAATAGTTGAGCCCTAAAACAGAGATGCTAAAAGTGGCCAAACAATAAAAGAAAAGGGAAGAGAAATACAAGAGTAGGAGAAGAGTAGAGGAGAGAGCAAGAAAAGAAACAGTAGAGAGGCATTCAACAACAGCAAATCCCCAGAAATGAGGGGAAAAAGCAGCCTTTGTGGGGAGGGTGGTGGTGGTTGTGGTAGAAATCTTCATTTTCTGGGGGAAAGAAAGCTGACATACAGGAAGAAAAGGTAAAACCTCATGTTTCACAGGCCAAGCCCGGAAGACAGAGATTCATGAAGAGAAGTACTTGAAATACTGAAAGAACTATGCTCCAAACTCCAAGCACTGCTTGAATCACAGAATGTCAGGGGTTGGAAGGAACCTCAAAAGATCATCTAGTCCAGCCCCCCTGCCAGAGCAGGATCACCTACAGTAGATCACACAAGAACACGTCCAGGCAGGTTTTGAATGTGTCCAGAGAAGGAGACTCCACAACCTCCCTGGGCAGCCTATTCCAGTGCTCTGTCACCCTAACAGTGAAACCTTTTTAACAAACACTGACTTAAAGAAGGCACACAGTTTTGTCAAATCTGAAGACATCACGGGGAGAAGAGCAGGGAAGGAGTGGAAGGAATTAAAAAATTAATTATCATACAGAAAATATTCCTACACAGCTCCCTGCAAAAGTCAGGAGTCCCCTGTTCACACA